AAAATACATTTCATTCAATCATTCAGCTTCATTTAAACATAAAGCATATTAAAAATGTTCTGCATTTTTACCCATTGTAAATATAGGAAAATAAACATATAAAGAACAAATTTTCTTGTTTTGACAGTGATATTTAGGGAGGGGGTTGAATGAGATTATCCACTAGGTTAAATGTGCTCTTCTGTGTGTGCTTGTGTTGAGTCGCCTTAAGGTGCTTAGTGAGTCTTAGAACAATTGTAACTTTGTCCTTTTTGTTTTGTTATGTTTTGGTTTGAGGTCCACAACGACATTCAGGCCAAAGAATTATAATAATAAATATTATATAAAGTTTATGCTAGTTTTAGTGTTGGTTTTAACAATTCTAATTTTAAACGAATGTAAATGTAAGTTTACATAAATACACACCCTGTTTGAAGTAAGCTATAAACCCGCGATTCAGTATTGTATATAGTAAACTACTGAAGCTATACATAATTTTGAAATTCCTAATGCAAATTTCAAAAATGTGGTGCAATTAATAGAGTTGCAAAGGAAAGGGAGATTCTTGTTGTATACTGGACAATATCTTTGATTTCAGTGTTGAATACTTCCGTGTTCTGACTGGTGCATCGACCTTATATGGATTAATACGGCCTGGATTGTGCCAAAATTTTCTTTAATTAATTAAAATGTCAAGGTCCCAGGATAATGAAGCATAATAGGCTTTAGTCAAAATCTGTACACGTTATTGAAATGAAGTATTGTAGAAATCAAACAGTCCATCAACATTGCATCACTAATCTGCTGTTACCTACTTTAAGTGTTACTTGTCAAAGTCTCTTTCATGATCCCGTCTGCGATCAAGAGGAGCATTATTTTGTATTGGATACAAAGGACGCCATATCAAGCCATTTCCTAAATTATATAGAAATTCACTATAAAGGTTCTAGTCCTGATAATAAAATGGTAATATATGCAATAAACAGGGGTGTTTTAATGCATGTTGCCCCCTGCCCCTTTTCGTTTTTGTAGCATTTTAGTCAAATCAGGGTAATGTGATGTAATGTTTGAGAAAATGTTACCCAAAAAAGTTTGAACATACCCCCCCCCCCACCCCCCACACCACCACCACGCACTGTATATGATATTTAAGTTTGATATTTTTCATCTGCTTGTCAAAGTTTCTCAAGATACTACATGTATATGTCTCACTAACTTTTTGCACTCGAAATTGGGTAAAGGGGGTTATTTTGAAAGTACACTAATTTAAGATTTTTTTCCATAGCAACACTTTAATACCATGACTAATTGATTTCAAAATCTGTTATGGCGAACCTTATTTCCCGCAGAAATTCCTCCAAAGGTTTTAGTCAATATGGAGAGTTTGTGCACTTTCCACCCAGAGAAAAACAAAGCATCCTTTTTTAGGAATATGAATTCACTTTTGCTTTACAAGTTATAGGTTTGTTCTCTAGATTGTATGGAATAAGCTTTTATTGCAGAAGTCCCCAGCTTCCTTTCATAGCTTATATAATAGATTTATTAACAGCAGCAGTTATAAAGCCAGCCCCTATTTTTACTTCCTAGGAATCAAGGAACAAACATCTTTATTTTTTCCACATAAACATAAGGGACTATTTAAAATGTTTCGTTTATATAGATCATGGTGGTATACAGTAATGTATTGGCGTGGTATGAATCATCTTGAGAGAAACGAATCGGACACTTGGCTAGCGAAGATGAGTATGAATGATATTAGTGTATCGTTTACCCAGAGAAAAGAATGAAAGTGGATTTTTAATTTTGTTAACAAGTTTTATTTATATCCCCCAGCCCCGTAATTGAAGATTCGGGGCTATATAGTTTTTTTTGCACTGTCAGTCCGTCCATGTGGGGCAATGACTTTTATACTTCAAAGGTGTATTCCTTGTGACAAGACCTTTCTTTCGGTACCACCAAATCTGACCTTGGAGTTTGACCCACTTATAGAAAAAATTACCACACTTTAAGGAAGCTCTAAATACTGCACCCTAAAGAGCTCCACTAAAAGGGTAATTTTATGCACTTATAGAGTGATCTGTCCTTAGAAGTAAGATTGGAAAAAAATGTTATTTTCAATTAATTACACGATTTGTATCAGATTAAAATATTTTTAGCATTATATGATACCAAAAGTAAGTAATTAAACTCATTATTTTTATGAATTTTCCCAAGGTAAGTATTAAGCAGCATTGATTTCTGCTAACAAAAAGTAAAATGCCTTTGAACATTTTTCCTGCAGAAATAAGGCAGGTACCCTAAGTTATAACTGAATGAAACAGTCTCAATATGCACACCTTTACATGATATATTTTTCTCCAAGTCCAAAAAAAAGCAGATTCTGTTAGTGTTTAGAGCTTCCACACTTTAACTTTTGCCAAAACTTTTGAACAGTTGGTGTTAGGGCTTTCATATTCACATCTGTAGTAATTGTGACAAGAACTTTCAGTGGGTATAAATATTTTTGACCCTAGAGCTTGACCCACTACCTTTAGAACAGTTAAAACTCGGGCTTTCATTGTTCACTGTTGTATCCCCTGTGACAAGAGCTTTGTTTTGGTATCTACTACTTTGACCTTTTGACCTTTGGAGTTTGTTACTTGCATTTGAGAAACTTCAACCCTTGCCATAATCTGTCATACGGGGGCAACAGTGTTTCAGAAACACATCTTGTTCCGAAATGTTTATTGATTGAAATGGCTTCTCTGACCAATGTTTTTAGAAAATTGCATTGCTTTTTAGCACCAGTGAGAAAAAAGTTTCTAAATAATTCTGATCTAAATCTTGGAACACTTCATTGCATGTTCGTTACGGTTATAGATATATCTCCACGCCACGCTTATGGGAATATTCAGATACTCTTCCATGTGAATTTTGAACATAAGTAGTCTTTTTTGCAATATCGTTTGTTTTTAAAGTTTTAAGAATAAAGTGCTTCTCTAGACACACAAAAAGAAGTCTTGTTACATGTTCTACCGGGGTTAATTGAACCTTTTCAAGCTTTTCATAATCTTGTTTAGAGCAGCCATCCCAAGCAACTGAAGCATATTCAAGAATTGAAACTGTTGGAGAAATATATCCTTTTGAACGAATTTCACCAAAAGAAAACTTTTTTAGTAAGACCGTTCACCAGAATAAATGATTACATATCTTAACTATATACAAATCTTGTATAGTCTACTTATTGAAAGCAGATGATAGCTGTATATGAGGTGTAACATTTTAGAAGTACCGGTATTTCACAGAAATTTATAGTAACCATGGAAAGACTTTCATCAAAACCAAAAAAAAACATATATATATATATTATACATAATTATGACATGTTTCATAGTTAAAATCAGAACAAAACTGTAGGAGTAGTACTTAGCGTTTTAAAAGTATTTTCTCAAATATTTCTGTATCCATGACACGTTCTGATGCCTTTATTTTTTGTTGTTGTTCTTTTCAAAGGATAACCTTTACTATAGTAAATGTTCATTGATAGGATGGTTGGCCCCCCAGGTTATAACCATAGTATAGTGATATCAAGGAAATATATAGTAAGTTGGCTTTGAAAAAGTTGGCCCCCCCCCCCCCCCCCCCCCCCCATTAACTGAAATAGGAGAGAACTATCATAGGTTGTTCAACTTTTTAATTTTTTTTTTTTTTTTTTTTTTCCAACTTTTTCAATGAACTTTCAAAATATGCCTGTTGTTTGTTTGTTTGTTTGTTCGTTTGTTTGCTTGTTTTTGTTTTTGTTTTGTTTTTCATTTTAAACTAAATATATATTGAAATTAACTGAAATTCTTCCTATACGGGCCTGATTATTTAAAAATGTTTTCACGGAATGCAATAAGCAACAAAAACTCTCTGTCCTATATGATGTGTGTCAAATGTTACTTTGACAATTTAGTAAGGCGATTTGACCATTTAAAGAATGTCATCAATATGAAAATGGTGCCCGGAATACTTGAAGTGATCACTAACGTACTTAATCTGGTCTCACTATATCACGACTCTAACTCTCTTTATTGCTTTTCGGTTTAAAAGTGTATGTATACATTATTGCTACAATTAGTAGAAGTATATAACAAGCTTTGCATCCATGCGAAATAAACCCAATCATGATAATCCTGATAAATGTCAAAACAGATTTTAAAATGCATGGTATTTCTCCTCTTTATTTAGGTATATCCCCCTTTTTATTGACGCTAGGATATATGTACAAATTGTATTAGTAGACCATCCAATGGAGAAAGGAAAAGGGTCACAAATGCCACATGGTCTCTTTGTGCAGGTTACTAGTTTAAAATTATTACCGCGGTGTCCAAGGAAAACAAATTACTTATTTGTTCTAATAGGCAATTAGAATTTCTTCATTGCTGACTGAGATGAGAAGTAAAACATATAAATATATCCAAAGTTTCACAATACTTATAAACCCATGTCCATTGACCCTCCTTATACACAAACTGATAAAGCCCGTTTCTACCAGCCCTATATTAATTATGTAGTGGAATCCTTTTTTAGTAAGGTTGGGCGCCTGACTTTCTATTATAGAAACATCCATCAATATTGTTTATCAATGTTGTGGTGACAAACTGCTTCTATTTATTATTCTATTGCAGTCTGGAAAAAAGCGAGTGTTTTGCATACAGGTGCTGTCATGCTTTTGATATGATTTATAGATGCAGTTATTCGTGCCTTCGTTCTAGTGGGATAATGCTTACTTTTCAAAGCTAAAGTGATTTCAAATAGAAAGAAAATCATGAAAAAGGAAAAGGGTGACACAGTTAACTGATAAATCCCCCCCCCCCCCCGGGAGGGGGGGGGTCTAGACTGCGGGGCATGACATCAATAACACCCCACCCTCCTTTTCAACAAGATGCAGAAAAAAAACCCAAATCAAAACATAGTTGTGTCATGTACATTAGGTTCACAATTTTTTTATTTATTTAATATAATGTTTTAACCTGGTCTCTGTCTCTGTTTACAAGCACGTGTTGATATTAGCAACGATCGAGGGTTTTTAATCTTTACGAATGAAAAGTACTGAGGTATTCCGATCGGATCCCAAAACTGAAAGTAAACAAGCAGGCCGATGGCGGACTGCAAAGTTGAGGATATTATAGATCACATTTCTTCTAGATTAGAAGGAAACCCATTGTGTAAAGATGTAAGACAACATTTATTGTCCATATCTTCCACGAAGGATGTAAAAGCAAATCAAATAGCCACAGAGAGGTAGGTCATTCTTTGTTCAAACCGAGATAAAATAGTTATTTCCTATCATTTGCATCATGCAGGGCAATACAAGCATATGGTGATACGCCAAGATAGTATAACTTGAAGCACTGTTAGTTTTCCCGAAGATTTTTAAAATTAATTTCCTGTGTGACGATTTACTTTTGATAATTTGAATCACATTTTTTTTAATGCCCTTGGGTAAAAAAGTCCCTTTTCTATTTATAGAAAGGGTTTTTTTTTCTTAGGACTGTAAATATATACTTGTGTTCATGAATGAATTAATTTTCGATTCTGATCGAAGAATCAATGGAGTTTTAATAAATGCATGTAACTATAAACATAAATTCTCTTGATTTAGTTGGTTGAGATGGGCCAGACATGAAAACCACTTAAAAGTCATCAGTGCTGGAATACCTATAGGAGTACTTCCTAATGGATTGGAAGGGGAAATAATTGATGTCAAAGTGTTCGCTAGACGTGGTCCAGATGATGCCATATATGATAAAAACAAGGAAATCAGAAAAAGGGTTTGTGTTTCAAAAATGCACATATGGGAAGTTTTTTCTCCGTTATATATTTTGAGATCAATGTTAAAAAATTCTTCAATCTTGCAGTTGACAATCTACTTACATCTGATCCAGTTGATTGTAATTCAATAAAATACACTTAATAAAATCAAAAATAATCATTCTCCCATGAAAACTTGGGATGAATGATCTCTGGATGGGGGAGGGGGGCTTGACTTTGGCCTCACTTGTATTTGTTTCTTAAAATATATCAAAATGTTCAAGGTGCAACCTTTAATCAAATGAACTGAAGACATATATTTCTAGTATCAAATCAAAATTGAAAATATGGCTAAACTACAAGTATAAGATAAAACTTGTATCCTTGTGTTCTTTGTTGGTGTTTTGTAGGTAGCACGGGGAAACAGCTTTCTACACATAGACAAGGGACCAGAGGCCGGCACCCGGTGTGTTCTACAAGCGATGAAGAAATTTACAGGAGGCCTGGGTGATGATGATGATAGAGACATGGGAGACAACTTGGTTTGGAAGAAATATTTTACGAAAGTAAATACCACTTGAGAGTATTAGCTTCATAATATAAGATTCACCCTGCTCTACTAAGGATATTTTCTTCTTGCTTTCAAAAGAAATTTTCATTATGGTCATTGTTTTATTTGTCTTTTTGATTGTCTGGCTGTCATTCTCTTTATACTTGATTCAGTGCATATTCTATTTTATATTTTGATGAGTAACATGTATTGTTTGATTATTGTACTCTAATACTATAAACGTATTACATTTGGCTGTGTATTCTTTTTAGCGCTTTTGGCAGAAAGCAAGTTCCACTAATTCAAGTACAATGCTAAATGTCATGTACATATGCAAATAAAGAAGAATTTTATGAGATACGCTAAACCAAATTTCCGCTAACTAGTTCGTAATTTCAATTTCCACCACACATACATGCTAAATATTATACATTTACGGTAATTGAAGATTTGCGAGGGCATGTAGTTTGTCCCCAAAAACTTAAGCTAACTTTTGAATGGTTGGTGCTAGGGCTTTCCTATACATGTATCACTTGTTCATTACTTGTGACATGGCCTTTCTTTGGCTAACTCTTGACCTTGACATTGGAGTTAAAATATGATTCTGAAGAATTTTTTAGCTTGGCTATAAGCTGCCATTTGCAGACATCAGTGTTTCACAAACACATCTTATTTGAATTATCATCCTTTTTTTCCAAAGCTTAAAACAGAGTCTAGAGATTAGTGCGTTAATGTATGATAGCACACTGATTTTATATGTTACCTGAATTTAGCCTATACAAGAAGCTGAAAAAATCATAGCCACAAAGAAAGCCAATGGGGAGGCAGCCCACCTCAGCTGTTGTATGATTGATGGGGAGTACGTTATGTGTGGTGGATCTAAGAATGTACACATGATGTTCAGGAAGAAAGGTAGGAAGGTGTTACTTTTATAATTGTAACATTTCAGTAAACAAAATACGGATCATTTTGCTTTGAGAATATAGATTGTCATCATTAAAGGTGTTCAGTTTCCGAAATCTTTGATGAACGTGTTTTCAAATGTTTAGAAAGAAATCAATGTTTTTGAATAATCATAAGAAAATGGTTCAGACACATGAAACATTAAATCCTGAAACAGAAAAGTTTTGTATTGAGTGGAATGTATGTAACTGTGTATTTATATTCACCTGTAGAAGATATACAGAAGTATGGAGAACCAAGATTCCGTATTGCTAGAGAAGTTTGTGAGACAGTTGTTGATTCCTTGGACAAAATGGGAGAGGATGCTAAACACAGGTAGAAGTTATCCCCCTTCAATAACACATTTGATAAAAACTACTCCACAAAGTATGTCTTATTTTTTAAAAGTACCACCTGTTGACTTTTCAATCTTTTTAATAAAAACCCTATTGGGGGAGTTGTTATAATGAATTCAGAATGGTTTACTTAGGCATTTGACAGCTCATGAAGTTAAAAAGATTTCAGGTTACATGTAATGTTTATTAAAATGAATGGAATAAATCATGTTGATCAGTTCATTTTAAGTATTTAAGGGTTCATTACTAAGCACTTTCTTAATATATTGTACCATATTTCATTCAGAAAGTGGTGAGCACGAAATCTTAGAACCACATGATTTTATTTCTATTGACCAGGCTGTTAGAGTTCATGGCTTGGAGTGGATATACAGCAGTATTTGAAATCCTGGCCCCTGATCATCAACACATCGTTGATTTGTCCTACCTCTCTGGGTATCTGTTTTATATACATGTACAGTGTACATGTATAAGAATTGTTTTTTAATTATAAATAATTTTTTATTTGTAAGTTTCTCAGGCAATTTTCATATTTTTTTCCTTAATTGTCTTTCATTTTCTTCTCTTTTTTTGGTCCCTTTGCTTTTTGTGGTTTCAGCAATTCCTATGTTTTTTTTCAGTCCAGAGCTAAAATTCATCACCTGGACAAAGTTTGATTTAAATCCCAGAGATGATGATTGTTTGGGAGCGATTCCTCCTCATATTGGTATAGAGGTATGTTTTATAAAATCCCATCAGTTTACAAAAAGGTTTCTAGTAAAAATAAAACCAAAAAAAAGAGTATTTTCATGTCATCCTCACTAATCAAGTGGTCACACTATTCCTCTATTTTCACAATTCAACAGAAAATCCATTTTGCATGTATAATGTGCTGACAATAAGTTGTATGCAATATTTCTATGAATTTTATCATTTCGTAGTAACATATGCAACATTGAAGCATTTAAATATGAATGTATTTTGTAAATTTTCTAATAAAAGTATAAATTTGTGTTTTCAAAAATTGTATGTCTTACCGTAAGTCATGCCCCTCACTTTGCTCTATATTTGTCACATGGCAACAAAATTAAGGCAAAGAGAGAGGAAATGCATCTATTGATTTTGAATTACTGACCCCCTTATAGAATCTACTCCTTTGTAATTCAGATTGCCAATGCTTTGGGGTTATTTATCTCTATTTGTCTCTGTATTTCAGATTGCCAATGCTTTGGGGTTGTCTGGTGTATCTTATGACATCATATCCACCTCAGATTTAGATGACAGAATGACAAAGGTAAGGGCAGATAACTGTGTAGAAAATGTTTAAGGAAAATCTAGAACTATAATGTTATGTTTGGTTAGCTCAGGTCATCAAGAGCCTTGGATCAAAATGATGATGTAGCTATCACTGTGTCCATCTGTCTGTCAGCTTGTTGTGATATAATGACAGTACCCATAAGTTAGTAACAATAGACTGATGATCAATTACTCACAAGTCCAAGTCAGTTTTGTATATTATTTTCTCATATTAATAATCATTCAGCTTTTGTGTTGTAGAATATGTTTCTTCAACATGATTGTATCATATTAATGCATGTTCAGGTGAAACACAATTTTTTTTAGGCCACCTGCTCAAAGATTAGGGTCAAAAGGTCAAGATTAATAAAACAAAAACATACTCCTGATTCTGGCTTTGTAAGACAGTCAGTTTTCTAGTTATTTTCAGCCATTATTAGGACACTATATTAAATGCTTTCATTTTTCTTTTCAAAATAACAAATACCTAAAGAAAAGCATATGAGGAGGTGAGATAATTTCTGTTCTGTGAATTTAGATAAGACGAGAGTTTGATTGTGAGGGAGAAGTCCTTTATTTCATGGACCAACAGGGAGAAGTTATTGGACTTTTAAAGACGAAAACTGTTTGGTAAATATTTATAGAGTTATCCTTATTTAATGTAAACTTATTCATTTCTTGTTTGCTTATATTAACAACATTTTATGAATTAATTAGACTATAATTCTGTAGAACCACTATAAAAGGGGAAGCTTTGACAGTGCGTGTGGAAATATGGAGAAATTGACAACTAAAACTTTTAAAATTTTCCACTCATCAACTTTCAACATTTTTGTTTAAGAGCACTGTTAAATATTATTAATTTGTGAGATATTTCACACTCTATTTGTAAAATATCAAAATCCTCAAACATATTTGTTATTTTTTCCCCAGAATCTTAAGGATATGAAATATTAATAGAGTAATACACATATTGTTTTTTGGTTTTATCCAATATTGCCTGTAGTACATGTATTCAAAAGAAGTCTAAATTTCAGGTACATAATGTGTCGAGCAATAAGGGAGAAATTACGATCAGGTTGTACCATTAAACAAAAGCAGACGGAACCTTTTTCTCTACCAAGGATCCAAAATAAGGTCAGATTTGCAAGGATATTTTAACATTGTTTGCATTGTGGGCTTTGCAGAAAAAATGTATGACCTGTTTTCCCCCAGAAACCACTTGGACGCATTAATTTTTACTTTGAATTTATGGGAAATGATATATTATCAAAATAACTACAGTAGAAAATATGAAAAAAAGATGAATAATTCAATATATATGACATTTTTGTCGAAACATTTGATATTCATTATTTCCTTTGAGCAGATGGAAAAAAGAATGGATGAGATTCAAAAATGGCTGTCACTTGACGACCAAACAACTCAGGATTGGAAGGTTGTTATGGCGATTCTGTTTTTAATTTATTTTGTCAATATGTTTTTTCATTATCTTCTTTTCTTAAACATAAAATGTGTACACAAAGAACATATTGTTTTCTGTCTTTGCAGAATCTTTGTTCAAATCATGACCCCTGAGGGTAGGGTGGGGCCAAAATGGCCGACCAAAGTTTTACATAGGAATATATAGGAAAAATCTTTAAAACTCTTCTTCTCAAGAACCACTTTCATGTGGAATCATCCTCAGGTAGTGTAGATTCAAGTTTGTTCAAATCATGACCCCCGGGGGTAGGGTGGGGCCAAAATGGCCGATCAAAGTTTTACATAGGAATATATAGGAAAAATCTTTAAAAATCTTCTTCTCAAGAACCACTAGGCAAGTTTGAAGTTCAGATTTCACATGGGACAAAATGGCCGATATGGAATATATAGAAATTAACAAGTAAAGCCCTGTTACATGGTAAGACATTTACATGTACTTGTTGCTGTGTTTTTCATTATTTTCTTTTCTTAAACATAAAATGTGTACACAAAGAACACATTTTTCTATCTTTGCAGAATCTTGCAAACAAATTTTTAAGTTGGGCTCTGAGCAAGTTTGAAGTAGATTTCACATGGGACAATATGATTGACAAGTACCCTGTTACATGGTAAGACATTTACATGTACCTGTTGCTGGTGTCTTAAGTACTGTACTCATTCTAGAAAGAAACATTTACACTTGGGTTTAGAAATATGCAGCCATAAATTTTATGGCAACAATGATATCTCTTCTGAACTTGGAACTTTTTTCTACACTATGCATCAATTTATTTTTATGTTAAAAGAGAGATAACTCTGACTCTTTGAATTTGCACCATTTTAAATTTCTCAATGAAAATGAGGGTTAATGATGGAGTAAAAAAGGAGTCTGGTTCAATACATTTGATGTTGATTTTGAGCTTACTAGATCAAAGGTCATTGCATGGTCAAACTGGACATAGAATAAAGTAATAAATTAATCTTAATGGTACAAAGAAATCAAATTAGTAATAACTAAATTAATATTGCCTCTTTGGTTGCATTTTATAATTCTTTATCATTTCTTGTTTCTTAAATCTTTCAGGAAACAATTCTTGGAAGAGAACAATGAAACAGACAGGATTAGCGTCAAATGTTATGAGGCCTCCTTAAAGAAGTAAAAGCTGCAGGGAACATCAAATGATTCAAAAGAGTTTGAATTGTTTGCACACCGAGGAAGACATATTTTCAAGTCCCTTAGCTTTTAGCACAGGAATTTGGGAGCATTGGAAAATTTTAAACTGTGTGCAGCACTAAAGAAGACAATGTTCCATTGTCACAAGTGACAGCCTCAGATCCTTATATGTTATACACCAGAAAAACCTTATTCCAAATCTACCACCTGATGTTACTTCAGACACCAGCCATGATTGACTGTAACATAAAAGCATAATTCTTTCAGTCTGAAATGCAAAGATGGGGCCTAGTATGTGCAATGTGTAATTATATTAATTTTGATTAACATGATGGCATACATATAAAAAAAAAAAACAACAACAAAAAAAGGAAAGAAAAGAATATTTCTCGTACTGGAATTTTACTAAATGCAAACTAAAGAGGGTATCTTAATGAATTATATCTTCAAACCTTCTCTTTTTCAATTAATTTATTCAAATATAAAGATGTGTACTTTTGATTTTGGACAGATATGAGAAATCTCTTGCAAGAACTATTTAGATATGCAAGATTTATTTAGATAGATATTCATATTTGCTTATTTGTTTTTTTTTTTTTCATTTCAGAATAGATATAAATGTACAAATAATTGTAAAGGGTTACTTTTAAATGTATCAAACATTTTTTTAAAAATCTGTATTAATTAATGTAGAAATTTAAATCTTTAAAAACATGGTTTAGTGATTTAAATAAAATATTTAATTTATATTATACATTTTTTATGCACTGAACCTTTTAAAATCTGTATTGATTACAGAAATTTATATCTTCAAATTCAAGGTTTACTTTTTTATACAAAATATTAAATTATACATTTTCTTTGTTTTTTGTCATTTTATATTGTTTTGCCTTTGTATTAAATTTATTTAAATTTTTAAAGAAGCATGTTGAGAGTTTTTCTTGTGAAAGAGTTAATCAAATGATGAGGATAAAGAGGGATGGCAATGTGCAATCTGTTTGGTTCACACATGTATGAGATAACAATCGAAAAGAAGCTTAGAATTTTCTTCTTTTCCTCTTATCATCTAGATGTTTTACAACACAAAATGGTCATATACACACTTCCTGGTAATTTGCTGTGCTTTGACTTGCAAAAAGACTACCAAACTCAATGCTCAATGGCCTGATTGCCAACAAGATCTAAATTTAAAGCACTTCTACGGATTATGGTGATGTCTCTACTTGAGTGAATAATACTGAAATGAGGCATAAGAAAAAAGACAAGGAACAAAATTAACCCAAAGTCAAACATACTGGTTAAGATTATTCCAGTCTGTTGGAAAAACCAATTTTTTCTGTCAAAATGGATATAGGGTATACAATAAAACATGGACAGTGTAACCCCTGGCCTATATCTGTAAGGTTTTTTCTTACTAGTAAATTACTCCTTTACAAAATTTGAATGCAAAACTAGTACATCGAAATATGAGTTGTTGCATTATGTTTTAAAAGATATAGGGACAATGTAATTCAATTTTTTCTGTCAAATATAAAATTAATGTAGATATAGGTATTTACCTTTTAATAAAACATGGTATCAGTAGTACTGAAATTAAATGTATTTTAAATGAAACTAGAAAACTGACCAGTCAGCAAGGGCCCCGCTGAGGGGTAGAAATACAAGGGTGCGGCTATATCTGTAAGGTTTTACTTGATTACATTTTTTTTATTTAAATATATGAAGATAAATTATTTTTAATATTTCTCCTTTACAAAATTTGAATGCAAAACTAAATTAAATATGTATTTTTAAAAAAAGATTTAAGCGTTTTATAATATGAATGTTGTTGCATTATGTTTTAAAAGATATAGGGACAATGTAATTTTCCTAATTAAAGTGTTCTCTCTCATTTTTCTTCTAAATTTACAATAAGAAGTTTTTTCAGGGACTCTTTTTTTAACAGCATTAAGGCAGCAAAAAAAAATAAATAATTTAAAATAGCAATAATATAAAAAGAGTATCAGGTAATATAAAATTAATTATTTTAAATCCATATTTCAAAGAATGTACACATCATTCAAAATTGATACTTATTCATAAAAGGTAATTTGAAATAAAGATAGTGCTAAGGTCCAATCCTTTTAGTACATTGATCATAAGGTACCATGGTATCAGTAGTACTGAAATTACATGTATTTTAAATGAAATAATATTTTTTGTTCACTTTGTGAAAATACAAAACAAAAATTAATACAATTCTTTGTCAATTTATTCTAATTATATACACAAAGGTTGTAATAAAATGTTTGTTATCATCAAATTTTTGCTCTACACCTGAAATAACTCAGATCCATATGTTTAGAACATACAACTCTTGTCACTTTTTCTATGTCCACTGACAAAAAATATCTTTGCACAATAAGAAGATATCTTAAATGATTTTTGTTTCCTCTCTCAATTATATCAGTGCAAATTTTAACTGATTTGCATGTAATACAGAAAATTAAACATATTCCACTACTTCTTTGCAGCCTTTGCCGTTTCTTTTTTATCAGATTCTTTTTCTCCGTCTTTCTTTTCCGATTCTTTTGCCTCCTTTTTCTTTTCCTTCAACAAGTCTTTCCCTTCATTTTTCTCGGCATCTCTGTTCTGAATCTTATTACTGATGAGGTTATGTAGAGCAATAATGGAACGAATGAGGGAAGCCAAATACACCACTAACATTTGATCGTTGGTTTTAACGTAAACTGATTTAACGAAGTCTTGTAGGTTAACATCAGGAAGTAGGTTAAACACGTCCTGTAACTGGTAGATAATCTGATGATTGACAGGTAGTTGTTTGGACGTCACTTTCTGGAGGTAACCATTGATATCGTTTACGTGGCCGTGGAGACCTTTTAGACCCATCAGCTGATTGGTGATTCTTTGTGAGAGAGATCCTACTGTGGTATCCTTGATATCTCTGGAAAAGACAACATTTACATCACATCTTTTAATATTAAAATTCTATTTTCATAAATACTTTCAACATACCAAGTTTTAGTTTGACATTTTTTAAAGCAGGGTGCTGGAACAATAATATGGGAAAAAAATGCTTTACGTAAAGGCAAATCTTTATATTGTGATAACTTAGATTAAGGACACTTTTTAACTGCACTAAATATACCTAAATATGAAGCTTTCCTCTGAGTTTATCAAATTCTAAAGAAAATTCCCCTCAGAACAAGGTAACTTTGTATCGAGTTTTAAAAAATCTTGCCCATGGCTTTGAAGAAGGTAAGAATGTAAAAATATGTTTGGTGACAAGAGACATCAAATTACCACTTGACAATTCAGCTTCATTTTGCTTTTTCATTTGCTCTCTGATTGAAACACAAATTTAATCAAGATTCCTATGATTATCCCACCTTAGAAGATGCTCCACTCCTACTTCTTCTGCTTCCTCGGCCCCGATCTCACTGGGCACGTGGTCAAAGGTCTTACTAGTGGGGGTCCCATCCTGTAACACACACATATAAACGATTACCTGCTCTAACTGAAAAGTTTGTGTAATAAATAGCATAGAAACTTTTATGAGAAAATCTTATCTACATCATCTACATTTCCATCATCATTAGCATTTATGTTTTTTTAAAAAAATGAGCTTGGGTGTAATTGAAATCCAATGAATTAGAAGCTTTATTCCATTATGGTTAACCCTTATCCTTGAACTGTTATGTCAAAGTCTACATCTGGAAGATCTCTTACAAATAGCACAATCAAACTGTTTCCTAGTGGAATAGTTAACAAATAAAATGAACTTACATCATGGACTTCTTCTACAGCTATGTAGGCCTCAGTGGGCAGACCTAGGTCCTTAGGTTTGGCATCTATAACAACTAATACCTGCAAACAGAGCAGGGCTCGACATTAACGCTTGTCCGCTTGTCCGGTACCAATGAAAAACAATTACGGACAAGTGAATATTGCTGGGCACTTGTCCGATTGGACAAGTGATTTTTCATGTAAAGAAGTCTTTGAATAATAATAAAAAAACAACTATTGATTTAATTGATAAGTTTATCCATAGACCTAAAACGAATTAGGTCTATGGTTTATCGAATACAAACGGAAGCAGTACATAAACCCGAATTTCGATCCCGATATCAATCGCTATGTAAGTTGAAGTTTACACTTGATCGGGATCGATATTCACTAATTGCATCCATACCATTGCATGGCGTGGATCTTGCGATGTTTGCCGATTTGGAATAAATCTGATTGAATTACAGATTCACTTGCAAACATTTATGTTGTTGTCAGGTCAGGTTGTGTAGATAAAATTTTGTTTTATATGTGTTTGTCTTTTTTAACAATAACAAGACTAATAAATCAAGCACGTTTAATTTTTTTTCATTTATGTAATAGTTTTCAAGTTGACAGAATAAGATATTCAATGAAAATTTTTTCGGACAAGTGAAGTTGAAGTTCGGACAAGTAAATATCTTGGTCTTTTGTCCGAATGGACAAGTAGGGAAAAAAGTTAATGTAGAGCCCTGCAGAGGAGGGATTTACAATAATTAAGGATATTTTCATTTTGTGTTTTTATTTTTCATTCACTGTTCCATTTCAAAAGGAAAGTTTCAAAATTCTGCTTGAAAAAAGTCATTTTAACCAATTGTCAGAGAATGACAGTATGCATATAAGGGGTGCTCCTTTTACTGATGCAAGAATGGTTAAGTCTACCTGTCTTGCATAGTAAATATTAATTAGTCAACTTTTGACCACAGAATCACTCTGGAAAATTTAAAAAATACTTACAGAATTGGGACAGTACCGTCTCAGAAGTTCATTGATGGCTACATCATTTTGGTGAAGCTTTGGGCCTGTGTGATACCATCCCACAATTCTCTCACGAGCTGAAAAACAAAAACGCAGAGTAGTTTTCAATAGAAAAATAACTTACATATAATTTTTCTCTAAATTCTTGAACATACATGTAGAATAAGATTTCATAAACCTCTGACACAAACAGCCTCCTGCTCTTGGATGTTAAAGAGCATTCAGATCTCTTTATGTATATTGGGATAATAATAATCCAAGATTCCTCTGCCTCTACCTCCACTTTTATATTGCGATATACAGGGGAGAGTCAGAGCGAGGCCATATTGAATAGTGGGAATTCAACGACACCAGATAGTGTCGCGACTCATTTTACAACTTTATTTCGCGGATCTGACTTCCAAAACACGAGAGATCAGTAAAGAAATGTTCCTTCTACAAATGAATCATCATTAAAAGGATGCTATCGCCATTTCAACGATGTGGTCTGAAGAGTCAGTTTCTATGAACCTGCTGAAATATTCTTACCATTGACTTTTTTGAACATTCCATACATGTTTTCCAAGTAGTCATGGTCCAAAAACCATACAGTCTTATCTTTATCATCTTCATCAAAGGGAACTAAAAGTAAAGAAATTAATAACCCATGCATGTTGTTAAAAAAATTATAATTAGCCTATTATAAATTACACATTTTACAACATTATTTTTTCACTCATTCGAGAATTTTGATGTCATGTGACTTTGATAAAGAACTCAATTTGGTTTTGATAAACGTGTTTTTAAATTTGTTCACATGATCTCAAATTAATTAGATAATAAAAACCTGCAAAGCTGTTTGAAACATCCAGAATCCCTTGTCTGTTTGCGCCTAACAAAACACCGACAACTCTCTTTGCATTTCCAACCTTTCCCATACGATTAAAATGGTCTACCACACTTAAAAGAACTAGGGGATGGACAACAACTTTAGAAATTTTGTTCGGATCACTGACAGGCATGTTGAAAGTTAACTAGAGAAGTTACTTTAAAATATTTTTGTCACGCCGGTGACTCGTCAACTTTCGCAAAAATGAAAGCAGAACAACTTCCGGTGTGAGTATTATTGGGCACGTCTGCATATAATACTTATATCAACATTTTTGATTATTATTCTGATATTTTACTATAGAACATCTTCAATTTATCACAAAATTTTGTTTCATATTGTTATTCTATTGCGAAATTTTTGGACTACTTTTTATGAACAGTATTAAACCGGAAGTTGTTATTCGTCCTCAATTGTTGACAGCTGCTAAGCAATGACTTTTTAACGTGTTTTTGTCTTTTATACTTTTATTTGATAAAAATGCAGAATTGTTACAGTTCGAATCGTATTCCTAGGGAAAACATGCATGATCAAGATGAACGACTGACCAAAAAGCATATAGAAACCCTAGGGTTTGTCAAAGAAATAGCAGAAGAGAACAAAGTGTTGAAGCAGAAAATTGAAGAATATGAGGTATTTTGATACAGAGTTTTGAAGGTTCCTATTTATTTTCTTTAAATTGACACACAATATGGTAATCTCAGCAAGATGGGTAGGGAATAAAAGTTTGGTCTGGCGTCCACTACCCATCAGCATCTGGGTAGTAGACGTCAGACCAAAATATTAGTCCCTATACATGTACCCATCTTGCTGAGATTAACAATAGGGCACACCTTTCACAATGTCATACAGTACCAAGGGGTCATTTTTGGCATTGTATCTCAAAAATTATGTTTATGTTTTGAGGCTTTGAAAAGGGGTTCCTTCACTCAGTAGGTACCCCCCTGAATTTTCCATTGAAAAGTACTCTTTTATTCAGCTAGTATATTTTCAACAACAAGATCAAACTTTACAAGGAATTGAGCATTAAGAAGTGACAGACACCTCAGATAGGGATATCAATTATTATCATTCATGATTTTTTGTGGCTTGTTGTTATGATGTATAGTGTAGTACATTTTTGGAATCAAATTATGTCACACTTGGATAATCACTATCGGATCTTGTACTAATCATATGATCTCATTAAATGATAAAATTTCTTGATGAGATAAAGTTTCTGATGGTACAGAGTTGAGTTGAGTTGCCTAAAGCTGCATTTTTTATTACCTATCATATATATTTGCTCTCTCTGTATACAATGTGTATACATGTATATTATTTGGGATTATGAAAAGCATTGAAAACCTTGGCAAAATATATTAATGTACAAATTCCTCTCCCATTCTAGCATAAAGAGCTATGGCTCCGGTCCATAGCTTGAGATGATGTATGAGCAGAGGGCATAAAAAATTCAAAATGCTGGAGACTGGAGTGGGGTCAAATTGTGAAGCAGGAATGATCATTAAAAGTCAATGTCTCTGTCAATAGTACAGCTCTCTAGAACAGTTGCTTTTGATTATTTTCTTCTAAAATTTCTCCTGATCTGAAACACATTCCAACTTTTTTCCTTACCTTTTTTCTAGCTGAAGACATTAAAATGTGCAGAGTTACATGCCCTTGCAGAAGAGAGTCAGGAGAGGATCAAGAAGATACAGGAGCAGTACCTGAAGAGAGCGGACGAGATCAATGCTATGATGGCAGAGAAGCATAAGAATGAGGTGACAGTATACTCATGGGAAGCAGTAGAATGAAACATAACCAGTTGATCTCCATAAGTTAAAAACTATAAATAAACACAAGACTTTTGTTATGGATATGAAGCTGACTATATGAATTAACATCTGACAGTCAAATGATTTAAATTTTTTCACTGTCTATCTCCAATTTTTTGTCACAGATGATGTATGCCATTGAAGAAAAGTTAGATATGGAGAAGAGAAATAATGATGAAATTGCCAGGGTAAGAGTTCTAAAATCTTGATTATGAAAGATATATGGTAGAAGAACGGTTACATTTAAAATGTATATAATGAAGAGATATTGTTTTTATTAACTTACCTGAGCCAAAGCTCAAAGTGAGTTTTCTGATTACAATATGACTCCTTTGTTTGTCATTCTCAACATTGTTGTTGTCATGAAGTTTTCATATTTTCATCTTCTTCTCATTAATCAATTTCATGAAACTTGGCACAAAGCATCCTTAGGTGAAGGAGATTCAGATCTGCATGTTCAAAGAAGGGCCACCCCTCTTTCAAGCGGGATTAATTCAAAATAGAAACTTTTGTGGCATCTTTTAAAAATATTCTCAATATTCAATAACCACTGGGCTTAAAAAGTTCAAAATACCAGTAACCAGGGTAATTGGAAACAAGTTCTTTACATAGTGTAGATTCAAGTTTGTTCAAATGATGACCTCCTGGTGTGCAGCGTTTATAAACTTTTTTGAAAGTGGGGCCATATCTCAAGAATCTTTGGCTAACTTTTACTACAGATACAGGATTTTGATATTGTTAAGCATAGGATTGTTAAGTCTTGTCAATGCAAAATACTGAGGATTTCAGTCATACAGCGAATTTGTCTAATCCATATATCCAAAATCTTACCAGTTATAGTTTGTTGACTCCAAGTCCATTTCATTAAATTTTAAAATTAGGTTAAAATGTTGTCTAATCTGGAATGGTGTCTAATCCAGCCATTTTCTTCGGAATCAGTGATATCCGGATTATACAAGTTTTACTATATATTGAACCTCATATAAAAATGCTTAAATCATAGAAGTTTGTTTTGTTTGTATGTTGTTTAACATCCCCTTTGAGAATTTTTCATTCATATTGAGATGCCACCACGTGCCATTGGAGAGCTGCAAATTTTGTCCTATACTTGGCACTTACAGCCATTGATCAGGAAGGTGCCAGCACCTACTGTGACACAGGATCATTCATACAGTCTCATCTGAAGGACCGGTCCCCACATCCCACTGTGGGATTCAAACCTGCAATGTAAAAATCAACTCCGTATTCTGCGACTCTAGTGCAGACACACTAACCACTGCACCACATGGGTGACTTAACAGTTTAGAAGTTAATGGACTACAATAATAGGATTCATTTCTTTACGTATTTGTTTATGGGTAAGGTAAAATAACACAAGTGAGCAATGTTGCCTATTGGTCTCTTTTTTTATGTAGCTCAAGGCAAGGATTCAGGAACTGGAGAAAATTAACAAAGAACTTCTGAGTAAACTGAATAAACTGTCAGAGTCGGATGAAAAAGTCAGTGTAAGTATTGGTATATAATCTCTATATCAGAATATCACATCAAAGTTCATACGGTACTCATTAGAATTTAACTAAGAAAAATACTTAACATTTTAGACTGATTTAACATTTATTAAATACTATTGATTAAATAAACTCTCAAAGGCCATGATCTACGGGAGACATTTGACTTTAGCATAATAATGGAACAGAATCAAGGTTCTTTTGTAATTAAACAGATTTTTAAAGAATATGCCTTTTTTAACGTCTTATAAAAAGAGGCTTTTTTTGTACAAGTGGCATAAAATAATTTTTTTTTAGTCTGTAAAATCCACAATCACATCATTTTAAAAACACACACATACATTTTAATATTCTCGACCAATTTTTCAAATTCAAGAAGAAACATGCACATATTATTAAATTTTAAACAATTTTCTGATTGATTTTTAGATCCTACAAATGAAACTGGATGAAGAAACTAGGAATTCAAGAGACCTGAGAACTGAAAATGATACTCTGAGAGAAGCAATAGAAGCTTTAGAGCAGAAGAATCTCTACCTCTTAAACCACAACGATTCCGAACAACTTGCCAGGAGAAATAAAGAACTAAAGCAGGAAGTTCAGGAGCTAGTTCAAAAGAACACTGAGCTGAACTACAAAATCAGCCATCTTGAACAGGAAGTGAAAGACAGCAAGATGGAGGAAGAAAAAGTCAAACTCATTGAAAATCTCAAAGTGAAAATTACTCAAATGCAGACGGAAAGAGGAATTGCCAATGAAAGAGAACGACATTTTGAGAAAATAATCAAACAACTGCAAAATGAGGTGGAAACATCAAAAGAACAGCTGGTCCAGACAGCATTATCAAAACAGAAACTCTACGAGGAGTACCAAAAAGTTTTCAAGGAGTTAGAAAAACTCAAAAAACAGTACGCAATAGATAGTCACCAGAAAACATTTAAAGACTTTGTGCAGCTAAAGAGACAGCTAAATACAGTGAAAAATGAAAATGAAGACCTTAAACAGAAAGCCAAGGGGTCAGGTAGTCTGCCAACTCTAAAAGATGAAGCAGTGACCACTAAAAACAATAGTCATTTAGGTAGGCCATCTTCCTTAAAGGCAATTACCAATGGCAGAAGGTGATCATCACTGTCTATTAGCCCTGAATGAAATGCCATGTTTCAATTTTCCACGTGGGTAGAAAATGGGTATCCCCCCCCCCACCCTTTGATATTCATGCCACTTCATGACTTCTTACGTATCTCATGTAAATTAAGCTAGTAAATTAAGTTCAGGTAGAATGTCACTCAATGCATGGTTAACTTGACATTTTGAAAATATCTTGGCTATTGTTTACCTTAGCAAGTTATGCATGTACCAGTCAGACATGTAGGTCATACATGTACTTCTCTTATGGTTTTTTATTGTACAGAGAAAAAAGAACAACCAGCGAGTTTTGTGGTATTAAAGTTATTTTTACAACAAGAAAGCATCTCATTTAGCATCTATCACTGTTTTTAAAGAAATTTTTAATTCCAAGAAGTATTTAGGTTTCAAATGGTAATAAATACAGGTATTATGGAAATGCCATCATCATAAGTGATATGTCATATGCTACTATAAAGTCATTATTCATTGCATGAGAAAGAAATATGCTTACTACTTCTCAAATATAGTATACAATGGAGTAGAAATAGATTTACATATTTTGCTTAATATTTGCAGATATTAATGTGGGAGTATTGGTAAATCAAAATATTTATGCATCTTTCATTTGGTTATTTCTGGTTGGCTATTTTTTAAAATGAAAAAACATTATTGTAGTTTACATGTAGACCTTGACTTGAAATAGTTATTAATAAGAAAGTACATTGTGTGACAGACTGATTAACACATCACAAAGGTTATTTTAATTATTTTAAAAATAATTG